TTTGTTGTAAGCCTTTAACGTTTAATCAGAGAGACATGTAAAACTATAAACTTCCACTCAGAGTACAATTTTGACACAATCCCTTAAGTTTTCGTATTAATTTTCTCATTATTTTTACTTTGTAATTTTACTTTTGGTTTTTCTTTTTGTACAGTTAAAGTACTGAACAATTCTGATGTGATTAATCAAGTTCTGTCTGTATTTCTAACAGTCTTTTCTTTGTATATTTTGATGTAACATTAACTAGTTCATGAATACCAAACCTGGTCATTTTATAAATATCAAATTTTTCTGATCTATTCGCCCTGAACTGAATTTTGTCCGATTTTCATACAGCTTCCTTTTTATTTGCAGTTACCTTCGTCCTGCTTTGTAATGTTAGCCATTTTTATTACCTCCCTTTGGATTCATACTAAAATAGTACGTTGGTATCCCATGAGGACTACAGATTATTGGTATTCATATTCCTTGAAGGTACACTGTACATGATACTTCCTTGACTCCAACTAACCCTTTGAGCTATTCTCCTCTGAGAGTTCACAGCTAATTTGTCTCTTAGTGGGTAGGGGGAGAACTCTGGGGTATTCCTTATCCATTAATTCACAAATTGGTTTTACTGATGAATATATAGATAAAGATATAGATATAGATATATAGATATATAACGAATATAAAAGCAGCATTACACCTAATCCCCAGTGGAGCAATTTATGACACAGACTTTAAGGGTTTTATATTCCTTAAAAGGTGAAGAGAAAAGAAGGTGAGGTGCTCAACGATTCTTGGAGGAAGTCATTGTATTTTTCCATGCACAGTGACCTCATACAGAGATTAGTCATGTAGCTAGCAACTCTCATGCATTCTGATTGGGATGTCATGTCACTGTTGAGCTTTTTAAGTGTTTTTACACAATTTTAAAGTCTCTGATTTTAATAGAGGGTTTTAATCCCTTTTACACATACTGTTATTACTAAGCTGTCTGGCCTCCTCCATCTTGTTTTACGTTATTTTAAAAGCTTCTATGACAGTTTTTTGGTTTTACCTTTAGTTATACTTATTACGCTGTCTTTGTTTTTATGCCTTTGGGGTTTTAGAAGATATATACTAAGATTTAACTTGACTAGTGGTTACCATTAAGATTCTCAAAACCGGGCTTCCCTGGTGGTGCAGTGGTTGAGAGTCCGCCTGCCGATGCAGGGGACACAGGTTCGTGCCCCGGTCCGGGAAGATCCCACATGCCGCGGAACGGCTGGGCCCGTGAGCCGTGGCTGCTGAGTCTGCGTGTCTGGAGCCTGTGCTCCGCCAACGGGAGAGGCCACAACAGTGAGAGGCCCGCGTACCGCAAAACAAAAAAAGATTCTCAAAACCATTCTAAGATACATTTCTCTAACATGGTAAAGGGCCAAACCATACATACTTTTGAGTCCACCTCCTATTTAAGATAAATATTTGGTATACTTTTAATTCCCCCTCTTCCTTTTTTTTAATTAAAAAAAAATTTTTTTTGATACTACAATCTAGGGCTTTAGATTCAGATAGCTATTACTATTTTTTACAAAACACTTAAAACTTCTTTTTGCCTATACATTGCTTTATAACTAGAAATGTAACAACTATTTCTATTTTAACAGTTTCGACATTCATCACTAGTCTATTTATATTACAGCTTTCTTCTTTTTTACTGTAATACAGTATATAACATAAAGTTTACCATCTCAACCATTTTTAACTGTACAGTTTTGTGGTACTAAGCATATTCACGTTATTGTCCAACTACTGCCACCATCCATCTATCTCCAGAATGTTTTCATCGTCTCCAACTGAGACTGTATTCATTAAACAATAACTCCTGATTCCCCGGCCCCCCAGGCCCTGGCAACCACCATTCTATTTTCCGTCTCTATGAATTTGGCTACTCCTGGCACATTATATAAGTAGCATTGTACAATAATTTGTCCTCTTCTGACTGGCTTATTTCACTTAGCATAATGTCTTCAAGGTTAATCCATGTTGTAGCACGTGTTAGGATTCCCTTCCTTTTTAAGGCTGAATAGTATTCTATTGTGTGAATATACGACGTTTTATTTTTCCATTCATCCATCCATGGACACTTGGGTTGCTTCCACCTTTGTCTATTATGAGTAATGCCACTATGAACACGGGTGTGCAAATATCTGTTCAAGACCCTGCTTCCCATTCTTTTGGGTATATACTCAGAAGTAGAATGGCTGGATCATATGGTAATTCTATTTTGAATTGTTTGAGGAATCACAATATACTATGGATTTCCTATTTTTGAACTCAATTTTGCTTCATCTACTGACCTCTCAAGAAGGATTTATGAGGAGTTTATTTTTGATGTTGTTATGTATTTTTCTGTTGCCTCTGTAAACAGAGACACCCTGGTATAAAATTCCTGGGTTACATGCTTTCTCCTGGAAACTCGGCACACGTTCCTTTACTGTCCTCTGGCACTCAGTACATAGATAAGAAGATTGAGACTTCTCTGTCATTTGTTCTTTTTTAATAACTTTTTTTCACTGTTTGGATGCTTACGAAATTTTTAAAAGTTGCTTTGTAGAAAAAAGAAAAAAAAAATCTCCATACGTGGGTCTCTTTGCCTGAAACAGGGTGAGCCTGATTTGTGGATGTCTGTCCTCACTACAGGACAATTCTTTTATCTACTTACTATGACATCTTTCGCATTTTTCTAGTTTCTCCTTGAGAAGCATCAATAAATTATATCTTCACTCTCCATCCTCTAGTCCCCTGAAATATAATCCTTTTCACACTCTCACCTTTTCATCTATATCAGGAGTTGACAAACTACAGCCCACGCCTATTTCTGAATAGCTGGTGCGCTAAGAATGGTTTTTCCATTTTTAATGGGTGGTGAACAAGCAAAACAACAGAGGATGAGACTGTAGGGCCTGCACAGCTGAAAATATTTATCATCTGGCCCTTTGCAGAAAAAGTGTGCCGACCTCAGATCTTCATCCTTGGAGAGTGACTCAGGTTTATCCCCAGCATCTCTGTTTCCACTTTTTTCTCGGTACCATTGATGTCATTACTTCTCCACCGCTGCCTCCAGTGAAGATCTTAATTTTGCTCTTACAAGTTTAGGGGCTTTGCAATCTCTTGTATGGCTTCTTTTCAACTCCTCTAGCTGTCTTTACATCTCCACCTCTCCTCTTTTTATGGCTTTTATTCCAGCATCATGGAACATTGACTTGCCGGAATTCTGAAATGCGCTTCTGCCGTCTTCCTCTGCCTCGTTCCTCAGGACTTGCTCGTAGGGCTCCAGGATGTTCTGCTTCCCAGGGAGCCCTCTTTCTGCACGGCTGCGCATGCTAAGACCTGGCCAGACTCACTGTTTGGTAACAAAGTTTATCGACTGCCCTTCGTGGCCTCGCTGACTACCCATGTGACAGTCAAATACGTGCCTTGCATGGATTATTCTTGGCATGTTTAGGCTCACAGCTCCCACTAATCCAATTCTCAGCTTATGGCTGACTTTCCCTGAGAGCAGGAGTCAGCAAACTACTGTCTGTGGCCTGTATGGCTGGCTAGCTAAGAGTGATTTTTACATCTTTTAAAGGATTGTAAAACAACCAACCAAACAAAAAGCCCTGGAAAACAAACAAACAAGCAAGCAAACCCCCAAGACACTAAGAAGACTAGGCAGAACATTTAGAATAAGACAGAAATCCTCTGTAGTCCACGAAGGCTGAAATATTTCTTATATGGTCTTCTATCAAGAAAGCTGCATGTCCATCAACAGATGGATGGCTAAAGAAGATGTGGCACGCACACGCACACACACACACACACACACACACACACACAGGAATACTACTCAGCCATAAAAAAGAATGAAATTCTGCCATTTGCAGCAACATGGATGGACTTGGAGGGCATTATACTAAGTGAAATAGGTCAGACAGAGAAAGACAAATGCTGTATGATATCACTTATATGTGGAACATATACATATATATACAACAAACTAGTAAATGTAACAAAAAAGATGCAGGCTTGGGCTTCCCTGGTGGCGCAGTGGTTGAGAGTCCGCCTGCCAATGCAGGGGACACGGGTTCATGCCCCGGTCCGGGAAGATCCCACATGCCTGAGAGCCATGGCCACTGAGCCTGCGCGTCCGGAGCCTGTGCTCCGCAACGGGAGAGGCCACAACAGTGAGAGGCCCGCGTACCGCAAAAAAAAAAAAAAAAAAAAAAAAGATGCAGGCTCACAGATGTAGAGAACAAACTAGCGGTTATAGTGTGGCGGGGCAACATAGGGGTGGGGGAGTGGGAGGTACAAACTATTGGATGTAAGATAGGCTCAAGGATGTATTGTACAACACGGGGAATATAGCCAATATTTTGTAGTAACTGTAAATGGAGTGTAGCCTTTAAAAATTGTATTAAAATATTAAATAAATTAAAAAAAAAAAGAAAGTTGTGACCATTGCCTTAGAGCATGTCTCTTCTCTCACCTCATGCCTGGCTTTTTGAACTGACAGAGTCCATCCCAAACCTACAAACTGTGTCACCAGCATCCTTCCCATCTGAGCTACTGTATGTGGGGTTTATTCCCTGGGGCTTAATCTGAGAAGAAGCGAACAACCTACCCTAATTCTTGACGACTTGCTTTTTGTAAGATGCAGTCTCTATCTGGAGACAGAAAGTTGTGGATGCAGGTGTGGTTGTATTGTCGAGCAGAAGGCGGGGCTCTAGAAAGGGGACCTCACGGATTCGCACCTATGAGTTGGAGGGACGGCTGGCTTATTTTCAGGTTACTACGAACCCTGGGTATCTGTGTTAAGTGTCAACAATGGGGAATGAAACACGTCTTCCTATTTCTTACATTTTTTTTTTTAATAAAAAGGAATCAATTGCAAAAAAAATGTTGAAAAATCACTAAGGGAAGGTTTAAAGACAATAGGCTAACATGATGATCTATTAATATATTAAGCCCCAAAGCATACTTGTTAATGTTACCTGTAATCATGCACTACTTTCCTTGCATCCTCTAGTTGTTCGTTGGTTAACAGAATATTCCTGGGATCAGTTACAGTGAAGAAATGACTGGCTCGTCCAATGAAAGTGCTTTGATCCCATCGAGGTTCCTTGATGTTAATGTTTGGTGGAAGTTCTCCAGACATTGTCCTGGACTGTAGAGGGTCAAAAGGACAGGCCTAGTTAAGACTTACAAAGTCACTACACATTGAGAAACTTTGTAGTCACACTAATCTTCAAATAAAGAGTTATTTACATTACATTCCTATTTATGAAAATAATTTTGCTATAAATGGCAGAAAGGCTATTTAAATCCAAAGCTAAATTTGTAAATCTCAATTTATCTTAACCAAATTTCAATGATTTCCCACATAGTTCTTTTTATAAGGACATAGTATTTCATCATCCCTTACTTTGGAAATCTATTCTTCAGAAAAAATAAAAATATAAAAAGTTAAAAATAACATTAACAATAACAGTGTCTGAAGTCTGAAACGCTTTTTCTGGATGAAAGAACCAACGTCAAACTACTGCGGCATTCTGGTTTACTAAATTTGTTTTTCCTACAAGTAGAAGTGACTAATTATGCAAAAAGGCTTACATGCTAAAAATTCTAGAATTAAAACAAGATTCAGATTCATTCAGCCTTATTCAGCGTATAAACCACCAATCAAAAATGAAAAATTATTCTCCTCAATCTAACAGTCATAGTGGGAAAAACACATTTGGACAACCCCATAAATAGTAATAACATAGAGCATATTATTTTCCTCATAAAATACTTATTTTCTGGCTAAGAACCATTACTTCTTTCTAAAGTAACTAGTTTCTTTCGCTGAGTAATATACACTTATTTTTAGAGCTGCTTTGTATTGCTGTAATACGTGCTTATTGTAGTATTTTGAATAATATAAGCTTATTGTAGAAAATAAAGAAACAAAATCTGCTATAATTTAGCCATGCTGAAATAACCATTGTTGATGTTTTGATATATTTCCTTGCAGACATTTTCTATACATATTATCCTCTAACTAAAAAAATAAAGTTGATATCATACTCTATATTTTAATATCTTGACTGTTTCCTGCTGTACTTATTTCACGAGCACTCCCTATGGCACTAAATATTCATTTCAGGTATTTAGCAACACCTTCAACCTTTATGTTATTTTCAGTTTTTCACCATGAAAAATAATGCTGTATCCTTGTCTATTAATTTTTTTCCTCATAACTGGTGACTTCCTTCAACTAGATCTCTCTATGTGATATTAGCAGGTCAAAGGATCTTATCACTATAAAGGCTTCAAACCATTGCTTTCTCATACCTCTTTCCTCTTTCTATATTTCTAATATTGGTTCTTATAGTGGCTTTCTTTTCCAGGTATTTTTCACGAAGTTATTTTTCAGTGCTTCACTAGATCATAGGTCTGTTAAGATGTCAGGTGCAGACGCCTGCCATTTGAACTTTATCAGAATCTCAAATTAACACATTTCAAGGCCCACTGGATCAAAATCAAGCATGTTAGGCCCAGAGATGTGAGGAATCTAGTATATGTAAAACAGCTGGTCAGTTGAGAGTAAGAAAGTAAAAATCAGCCCCATTATTCATAAAGCAGGCTGGGATGACAAACACAGATAAAGGCAGCTGCAAAGCTAATAGGAAACCGTATTTCTCCCAAGGTCACACTGAAGCTAAAAGGTGTCCTAACAACCCCCTTCTTTGGGTGACCACTGCTTTCTTATCTCATTGAGAAACCCTGTTCTCCACCATCACAGACTGTCAGAAACTTTGCTGTTTGAAATCACACTAGGAAGAATGAATCATCCCACTTTAACACAGAAAAGGAGCCTGGATTTCCAGCCCAGATGCAGAGTTTCAGATTAGGGAGTTTCTGGACACAACATTCCACGTCTTTTTTCTTTTTTTAAAAAATTAATTTATTATTATTATTATGTTGGCTGTGTTGGGTTTTCGTTGCTGCACGCGGGCTTTCTCTAGTTGTGGCGAGCAGGGGCTTCTCTTCCTTGTGGTGCGTGGGCTTCTCATTGCGGTGGCTTCTCTTTGTTGCGAAGCATGGGTTCTACGTGCATGCGCTTCAGTAGTTGTGGAAGGCAGGCTCAGCAGTTGTGCCTTGCGGGCTCTAGAGCACAGGCTCAGTAGTTGTGGCGCACAGGCTTAGTTGCTCCACAGCATGTGGGATCTTCCCGGACCAGGGCTTGATTGAACTTGTGTCCCCTGCATTGGCAGGAGGATTCTTAACCAGTGCGCCACCAGGGAAGTCCCTTCCATGTCTTTCTTAACTCTGTAGTTTCCAAGGAAACTTTGTAGTTTCCAGGTCATGGGCTACTTCACAGTTCAGATCTTTACACCCAGCCCTGCTTTGAGCCAATCAAAATATTGCTTCATTAAACTTCCCTAAGTTCCACCATTCTCCAAGATGCTCTGAAAGACCTATCTTTTCCTTTGTTGGTGAGACACTCCCAGTTCCTCCAGTGTGTGGTCTCCCTCATTGAAATACACATGACTTTGTTTAACTAAGGTTTGTCCCTGCTGGTTTTCAGTCAGCTGGGCTATGATAAGAGAAGTGTCTAAATTTCAAACTAGGACACCTCTAAGCCATGAACGTCAAGTCCGGGGATGTAAGGATATAATTTTCACTTCAAAGAGCTGTGTCATTGTATGAAGAAATGTCTCAATTTTGAATAAGAATGTACCAAATGTATTATTTATAAAACATACAAAAAGTCAAACAAAAACTCTAATTCACACCCAGGAGAACAATTTTCAGACTTGTGTGCAGGGACCTAGGGCTCTGCTGAGGCATGCTAGTGACCTGCAGGGAGTGGAGGGGATTCAAGCAGGTGGGTTCTGAGCCCCTGAGTTTATAGTCAACTAGAGCAGGTCTGCTTTCATCTGCTCTCTACATCTGGGTTTTATGGCAATGATCATTTAAAGGGAGGGTTCTAATGCTTGAGGGTTGTGGGGGGGAAGAAAAAGCAAAAAAGAAAAAAGTTGAAAATCACTATAGGAGAGGAAAATCTGAAGATCTATGAGATGATTCATAAAGGTCCAGAAGGTTTCAAGCTTTTTTTTTTTTCCTCCAGTTTCCTAAGTCAGCCCTGGCATCCATTTGATTAGTGCCTCTTCAACTATGTCCGGTGAAGGACCTGCTTTGGTTGTTCTAATTTCCGGTCCCATCATGAACCAATACTTTTGTAAACTATATTAAAAATAAATTTTGAAAAAATGAAATAAAAAAGTGGGACACATATAAAAGCCCCCATTTTTATTATTAGGTTCAGCAGATATACTAGAACTCTATCATATTGTTATGAAAGTTCCTAAATGCTTACCCCCAATTTCTGTATCTTCCCCAATATGAGGACACTGGCCTCGTCCAAGGGTCATAATTTGAATTTACACTTAGGCGTATAGATCACAATTTGTTTCTATACTTAAACGTCACCAAATAAATGCTACATATAATCGTGTAACTAGAAAAGACAGATAATCTGGTCTAACTCACTTCTGTTTTTGAATGGACCACTAGAAGGTATAATGCTTACCCTCAAGTAGATCGCATACTAAATACAGAACAGATGAAATTCTGACCAGGACAAAACTTTTAGCTTTGTTTTTTCTTTAAGGTCTAGAAAGTGCTCCTACCTTTAGTGTTCACTGACTGGGCACCCACCACGTGACAGATTCTTGGGCTAAATCAGTGAACAAAAGACAAAAATTCCTGCCTTGGTGGAGCTGATGTTGGGTGCTGGCAATGGAAGGGTAGACAGACAATAAACAAGGTAAGCCAAGTATCCACTATATTAGTAGGTAATAAATGGTTTGGGGAAGAATCACAATGGGAAGCATCATGAGGACAGACTGCATTTTTAAACGGGGCAGTCGGGGTAGGCCTCATGGAGAAAATAACAATGGAGCAAGCTCAAAAAGAAGTGAGGAACTGAATCATGTGCGTATCCAGGGGAGCAGCATTCCGGGGAGAAGGAACAGACATTGCAAAGGCCCTGAAGCAGGTGTCTTCAAAGAACAGCAAGAAGGCATGCAACTGGGGTGGAGAGAGGAAGAGGGAGGGAGACAGGAGATGAGGGGTCAGAGAGGTATGGGGAGGGGTTTAGTTGGAATCACACTGTTTGGCACCTCGTGGCCACCGTGAGGCCTTTGCATTTTACCCTGAGGGAAATGGGAGTCATTGGTGGGCTCCAATCAGAGGACTTACAACTGAAAAGGATGTCTCTGGCTGCTGTGTGGAGAACGCAGTGGGGCTATAAGAGTGGATGCAGGAGGGGCAATTATAAAGCTCCCGCGGGTATCCAGGAGAGGGCTGATGGTGGCGCAGGTGGCAGCAAGGAGGGGCCAGAAGTGCTGACGTTCTGGATACTGTGCTGATGGAGCCAACAGGATTTCCTGAAATCTTGGATGTGGGGTGTGAGAGAAAGAAAAGGCATGACTCCTAAGATGTTTGACTGGAGGAGAAGCAGGTGTCAGGGATCAAACAGCAAGTTCAGGTTTGGATGGATGGAGTTTGTGACGCCTAGGGGACTTCCAAGTGGAGATGTCCAGGAGGCAGTTGCGTACGAGAGTCTAGAGTTCAGAGGAGAGATTTAGTCTGCAGATCTTCATCTGTGAGCAGAGACGGCTGAAACTCAGGCAATGGGAGAGCGACAGACAAGTGAACGTAAACAGAGAAGAGATCCAAGACCTCCAATGTTAAGAGGTCAGGAAAGACTAAGTTATAGCAAAGGAGGCTGAGAAAGAGTGACCAGCGGGTAGGAACTCAGCAGAGCGTGGTGTCCTGGAGGACAGGTGAAGTGAGTCTACCTGTAGTCCCATCGGCCAAAAGGAAGAACACCTTGGTAGTTGGTTACTCCCATCTTGGGCTAGTGAAGAGGGGGATACAACTCCTGAAGGGCCATCTAGGGAATGGGAACGCTACAAAGATGGTTACCTCGGCAAATTCTAAAAATTCTTAGCAATGGTGATGGCAAGTAGGGAGTGAATGCACAGCACATTAAATGCCCCCTCTTTGGGGCACTGTTTATTCCTGCAAGGTCACCGGCACAGACTGGTGGTTCCTAACCAACAGAACGCATTGAAATCACCTGGAGAGCTTCTGAAAAAGACAAATACTATCGCC